GAATGTCTAACACCTTCCTTTCTTCACCACTGAGACGCCCTCCCCAGCCCCTGCAAGACGACTGCCCTCTCAGGGAACAGTGGTTACAATTTAAAATCAATAATAGCTAACAGGAAAATTACATTTAAAAAATGGCTGATGGTAAACAAGTATAAAACGCTCACAAAATAACAAATCAAGTTGTTGAAAAGAGAGTGAAGAGGAGGGAGGTTAAGGTAGACTTACATTCTTGCTTAAATGTGAAATACTCTGTTAAATGTCTACATTCATGATTCCCACGAAGTAAAAACAGTGTTTTGGGGTAAAGGATTTTCAAGGCCCACAAGTACAGCACACACTGCAAATCAGAAACAAGAAAGAGAAATATAATTCATAATTAATGACGTACTTCAACCACCACGCTCCCCCCAAAAAAGCAGCAGAAGGATTCGGTGTGAAACATTTATTCTCAGTAGGTTAACTTCACTCTTCCAACATTACATGCAAACAGTTCTCCGTTCTTCAACCTGGACTAGCTGGGACTAGTACCAGTGTATTCCCATAAACTTCTAGGCTGTTGCTAAGCGGTACCTCCCGGCTCGTCCTGCCTCGCCTTCGGAGGCCCAGCCGCCCCGAAGGAACCGCCGCGCGTCGCTACAGCGCAGCACGCCCTCTCCGGCCGGCCGGTTCGGCACAAACCCGCCGGGGAAACAACTTCCCCGGAAGATCTGCGTTTCCTGGCTTGAGGAAAAGTTGCCCTAGAACAATTTAACTTACGCTTCAGGAAATAGCTCGGCTTCCAGTATTACAGAGTTTTTACATGAACGCTTGTTCATTTTTCCACTTAACATTGTTCTGTACAAATAACAGAGGAAAAAAAAAATCCACAAAGCTCTTGCATCAAATGAAGTCGCCACAAAGCTTCTGCAGAACCTTTTATCTTTCCAGAAGATTTCTATTTGAGATGACATTTCTTCTAGACATGTTTTGAAAGATAAAAAAAGACGACTTGGAGAGGCTAACCTCTGCTCAGACCTCTCAAAACCATCCAATTAAAATAGTTGTTTTGGAAACAAAACTGACACAGCAATGATGCCAAAGCATTACAAGACCCTTGACGAATGAGTAGACTTGCAAACTTCATGGAAGATTTATCCTTCATATAAGACGACCCTGCTCAGGTACCCGGCTGACAAACTCACAGCTCCAGGGAAGCCGATGGAAGTAAGAGCCCACCGCTTGTAAGAATGCCGCGATGGCCTCTCAAATAACGAGCTAGAAAGCTTTCTGAACAATTTCTCCTCCAGCCCTTCTTTTCTTAAATATCTATGAACTGCAAAACTGTTGCACGAGAAAGAAAGGGTGTCAACCCCCCGCTCCTTTTATCTGCAACTACCCCCCAACACTCCCATCTGTTGACAAAAATTATTTATTTACCTTAATAATCAATAGCTTGGAAATTCAGAACTTACTCCTAACTGCTGTTTCTGCTTGGAGCAGAATCAGTAATTTTGTCAATGTAGTGCCTCTAAATTTGTACAATATGAATTCCTCTCTACAACTCAGAATGTCATGATAAACAGAATAATTACGTTAATCATGTCTCAACATTTTGATTTCTGCTCCCCCATTTTCTACACAGTCCTTACCTTAAAAAAAAAAAAAAAAAAAAGGAAAAAAGATGCAACATTTTTATATTTGTGCTAAACTTCACACTATCCATGAACAATTACATAGCAGTATGGGTTTTATACCACTACTCTTTGTCTTGAATTTATGTGTAAACATCTGGATGCTCTGCCTGCACTTTCTGTTCTTCTAGTCAGGGTCTAGAGCCAGGTGAGAAGAACAGAAAGTAGAAGCAGCATCCTCCAGGACTCGCAAAATTAATTCTTCCCCTTGGAAACGCATGGACAGCCTCGCAGCTCATGCCACCTTTTCCACCTCCCAGGCGCTGCTGCCGCTGCAGGAAGGGAGAAGAGACCTCAGACCGCCAGGCAGATTCACATTGGCGTAACCCAGCACGAAATGATGGTGTTAGGTCACAGGAATTATCTGCTGTGGCTCAAAACATTCACAAAGGGTGTGCCTGGGGAAGGTTTGCTGGAGTTTGCACTGAGACACACGATTTGGATTTGAAGATTAAAATCCTTCAGTGGGGAAGGAAGCCTGGACTTCTCCACATCACCAGTGCAATTCTCCATCTCTTTGACAATGACGTCATCATTCCTCCAAGAATTCCCAGAACCTTCCACTTCTTTGAACTTACTGGCTAATGCAAAAATTTGATGTAAATGTTGTGAGACAAGAAGTTTAAAGTGACGCTTCCATCTGTGCAAGAAAAGTTCCAGTTTTTAAAGTTGTACCGAAGTTAGCTTAGAGCTTCTAATCCTGCCAAAGCACCTTATAATTTAGAAAAGCACAATGATTACTGCTTAGATGAAATGCTTTATTAAAAAGACAAAAAAGAAGGGTGGTTTACATTTCCCTTGTAACTAAGTTTTTCATTTTCATAAAGGCTTGGCAAGATTGAAATGAGCACTTAGGTACTTAAAATATCATCCAGATTTGTGAAGCAGGGAAAATACAGAAAGCTGGAAATGTTATCTTCTTGGCATTTGGTACTTGCTTACAGGTAGATTGCTTTACATTTACTTATCATAGATTTATTTTTTATTTTTTCTATGTTTCCTTCGAAGCACTCATGAGAACCAGACCAAAAAGATAACAGAGAATCAATACAGTCCAGAACGTTCTGTGTTTCCCTGCCATTGTTCAAGTAATGTGAGCCCACCATTCATTCCGTGTTGTTTTCGGTGGTACCATACTGAAGGTTTCGGTGTTTTTTTTTTTTTTTTAGAATTTTCTCCCTTTTCTGTTCAGTAGTCCAGTGATGTAATATCGTAATAGTAAGGAAGAGCTAATTAGCAGGTTGGGGTTTTTTTTCATGCAACTAAACAGCAAATATGAGGGTGACAATTTTTCATGGCTTTTCAACTTACAGTAATTTACATACAAAAAACTTAATGTCCAAACAACATATCACGAGCAAGCATTCTGTTTTTTTTTTTTTTAAACTCTGCTTTGCATATCAAAATTCTTAATGAAGTAAAAAGATTTATAATAAAGTCTCTTTGTCGAGCATCTGAACTTACAGTCTGCAATTATTTGGTAATACTGCTTCCCAACAGCAAAATTTTACAATTTATTTTTCTCACCTCCAACTTTTTCCTCAAGATTATACTATTCATCAAGATTATACTATGTATCAGTTCTGCTGTAACTCTGTGTAAAATGTACAGCAGTGACCTTGCAATCTAGACATCTCTCTGGTATTTTTGGCCTATCTTACTTCATACTATCAAAAAAAAAAAAAAAAAAGGTTACATCTCTTAAATGCCAGCTAGCAAAATACTTACTTGCTCAGTGTCTTTCAGCTGTTGAAATAGCAGATATGTTAAGTTTATAACCAAGAGGTAATCTGCCCACCTCCCAGCTCCCATAACCAAGCTGTTTCCCTGCTGAGGCTCTGGCAGCCTCACAGAATCACTAAGGTTGGAAAAGACCTTTAAGATCATCACGTCCAACCATCAACCCAACACCACCATGCCCACTGAACCATGTCCTGAAGTGCCACGTCCACACATTTTGAACACTTCCAGCGATGGTGACTCCATCACTGCCCTGGGCAGCCTGTTCCAATGCTTGACCTCTCTCAGCATCAGGAAGGAAAAGGTCTGTACAATTAAGTGCTGCGTAAACCAAAGGCACACATTTTCAAAATGGACATCAGGTTTAACTCCACTGCCGCATGCTGAATTTGAGCCTTTGCACAATTTTACATCCCAGCACCTCCTGAAAAGGCAAGCCACAAGCCCCAGACCTCTTGCACACATCTCAAGTTACGTGAGAACTTTGAAGAACCGTTACCGTTGCCAGTAGATCGCAGCAACACCTGTAACACAGGATGCTCACTTTTGGGTGCTCTTGCACTCATCATGCCGGGGAACAAGAGATGCAGCTCGCTCTGGCAGCTGCGTGGCTTTGCATGGGTAACAAAAGATGAACTCTCCCATGAACAAATGACTGATGGCATTGGGCACTTCCCCAGCAGATGAAATCAAGCGTGAATAAACGCAAGGTAATTCACACTCGAAAGGATAATTTGAGCCACGCGTTGCTAAGGTCTCTGCTGATGCTCTGTGAACTGTGGAACAATATATTGGCATAGCTCCTTCACTCTGTAACCAACACACCCCTCACCTAAATACAAAAATTGCGTTACTTTAACTGCATTGAAATAATTATACCATCATAGTATCTAGTACAGGCACAGCTTTCTGAAATGGAGTTACTATCCCAGTGGAAACCATATACCTTTTTACACACATAACTGCATTCACACTACTGGTATGACTATTTATTAGGGCTTTACTTCAGACACAAATATATCTTGCATCTGTAATCAAAATACTCACAAGAGATGCAGGTTATTGCCACTTCTAAACTACTATCCCTTGAGCACAGGGAAAGAAAACTCTGAACACTACTGTAACTAAAGAAAAAATTATATTGTCTTCAGTAGAACCCAGATTTCATTCTTTTTTTCCCAACTTTGAGGGAATCATCATAAATGATGATCTCTTCTCTTAAGGCTCTGCTGCAGAATAGGGACAACAAGGTAGTGCTACTTGCATCAACGAGATCTTCATGACAACTTACAGTCTTTGCCACAACATTTTTGCCAACGTGCTCATATTTTACCTCTTTGTTGTGCTTCTAAAACCAGTGCTCAGGTACATACAGGTTGTGTATTTAAAAAGACTACTGCTGTGGAAATAGACTTCCTGTGGAGTAAGAGTGAATCCATTCCTCGTGGTCAGGTTCTCAAGTGTTTCTAAAACGTTCAAGAATCTCATTCTGATCATTCATATTCTGTTTATTTTTTTTTAAACGTCTGTTGAATATTCCCAAGCTGCTTTGGGATCTTGTTTTGTCACCTGCATGGTTCTTTAGCACCTCTAGACTTCAACTATTGCAAGACTCTCTTCTAGCTAGTCTCCCAGATGATTTATGAAAAGCCATCACCTGCAGAACATTGCTACTTGCCTTATATCCTTTTCTAGTGTTCAGACCATATTACTCCCATTTCAGCCCTTGGAAGGACCTCAAAATGTCCAAAAAGGAAGGACCTCTTTTTCAACCAAAAAGTGGCTAGAGAATTCTTTTTCTTAAATGTTCCTGTAATTTTTACAGCTAGTGCTTTCTAAACAGGTATCCAAGTGCCAGCTCCTAGCTCTCCTCGTTGGACCTCATGTCTTGGACCCAGCTGTTTTCTGTGGAGGTGGGTCTCAGAGAGATGGAAGCAGTGTGGGGGAAATGGTGCAAGTGACCTCCGGGGCACCGTCCCGTGCTCCCTCCCTGCAGCCAAAAGGGGTTCTTGGCAAGCTGGGGTCTCGCCTGGGGAAGAACTGGCACAGAACCAGGCAAGCTGCGAAGATGGCTGCAACACAAACAGATGTTCCAGTCTGGGAATGTAATATATAAAAAAAAAAAAAATCTGAATTTGCTGAATTACTGAATATTCACGGCTCCGAGGAGGACCGCCCAGCAAAAATGAGATCTTACAAGATGCAAATTCTTGCTACAGAGAAACGTATTTCCTACTGTTACACAGAAGAAAAGAGCAAGGAAATTTAGGATTATTAAGGTATTAGGATCTTCTTTGCTCTGAGAGAAGAGAAAAAAACACTTGACTTCACTGATAAACTATTCTTGACCAACCAAAAATATTTTAAATCAAGCTGTTTATTGGGAAACATTAACACACTAGAAAGGAATCTGAAAGGTGTTTATTCTTCCAGTAAAGACCTAGAAAGTGTACAGAGGCTTGAGAGCTCACACAGCTTCATCAGTGTTCACTTCACCCACAGTTTACTAACACAAATTTATTTATATGCAATTCTTTTATTGGGAGAGACCAGTTAATAATTTCGAACAGTTCACTGAGTTCAAAAGCATCTCAAGTGTCAGATGCTTTTTTAATTGATGCAAGGTCCGATGATCAAATTCCAGACCCACTCCAAACACCTCACTTTGTTGTTGCTAGAAATACCACACAAACAGTTTTTCCTCCTGGCAACTGGGTCTTTGTGTTCAGGAAATGAAGATGTACGAATGTTTTGAACCTTAAAACACAACTCCAGCTTTGTTCATTTTGAACGTTGGTTTAATTCTCCGTATCTTACCTCTCTGCTCTGTCAAAAATGATCAGTACGTAGCTTGTGATATTCAATTGACGTTTAAGTCTGTTTGTTTTTATATGGGATTGAGCTAGAAAATAATTCCAACAGTTCATTTACATAAAATTATTAATGCACTACAGTCGGTATTTACTCTGATTGTAATTTTTCCAAGACTGTGATGAAAAGCAGCCTATATGTATACTCACCCCTACACTGCATGGCATTTATGTCTGCCTTTCAAAAGAGGGTTTTCAGACTCAGGTATAGATTAGTCATTCTTCCTTACAGCCCATTCCTGCAGAACCACTTATGCTCTAACTATTCTTTGGATTTAAAAATAGCCTTCTGTTTTGATCATTTGCGTTTCTTTTCTCCATGACCATAAAACTTGTTTGAAAGCAAGAGCTGAGGGGCTTCTCCTCTGAAGTCAAAATGCTGGAACAGTGCACAAGCACAACAGTGTTATCAGTTACAGAAGCAAGGAAACAAGTGTGCCGCATCAGATATTGCAACTTGCAGACATTTGTTATTCTAAGTGAAGAAATGCTTAGGCTCTGCCAAAAGATCAAATGGAAAAGAAAGTGCAGCTATGGGATACAGATTTGGTCTGTGCCGAGAAATGTCGTCTCATCCTATCTAGAATTTTGACATTTTTGTTTTATCTGTTGTAATTCCTTTATTAGTCTCTCATCCTGCAACCCTTGCTTATAATTAATTTTAAAGACACAAAACACCCTCCCTTCAAATACTGGAGCTAACTCTGGTAAAAATGGAGCACACACGTGAAGGATTGAGCCCTTAGATCAAATGCTCCATGGGGCAAGGACTGTCATTTCTGCTGAGTGCCTTATACAAACACTTTTCTCTTTTTCCCTCTGCATTATCAAATGCTTTCCACCTACCTTATGCAATTTCTTCCTCTGTTCTTAATGATAATAGCTGACATTATATAGTACCTTTCATCCAGAAGAATCCCAAATGCTTTGCAGCCCACAGACAAGGATTATCTCGCCCACTACCAGAACTCAGTTAGGTCTAGGCTCAATGGTGTCACTTTTACGCTAGATATCACACAGCAATCGAAGAGATTTTTTTTAAAAGCTTATATTACTTGTGATTAGTACCTTGGACCAGCTACTTAATTCTTTTGGAACGACCCCAGAACTGCAATAGTCTTGTGTCTACATAGCAGAAAGGGAAGCCAACAGATGATGGAATAAAGATCATGGTGTAGCTGATGTGGTAGAAATATGCATTGAGATCAGGCTAGAACAGTTTACCACCATGACTTCTCCAGCACAAAGTACAGGCAAGAGCTGCTGCCTGCTAGATGTGCTCAGGGCCCCTTCTCCACCAAAAGCATTCCCCCACAATACGCCAAGTTGCATTCCTCACCATTTTCCTTTTCTTGTCACTACTTAACTGTGCTGAGTTCATGCCTGAATGCATAGCTCTACATCCACATACACTTACGAAACAGAAACTTGCCTTTCCTTTCAAAGGCATTCTTTAATCAAGGTGACAGGTGGGGAGAATCAGTTATGTGACCAAAAAAGTAGTGATCTGAGAACGTTACATAGAAAAAGGAATAATAAAAGCGGCAGGTCAGATATTTCCTTGGCACTGGCAGAAGCCAGTACTGCTTCCAGTGAAAAAATAGTGTTCCAGAATGGAAAAACTAAATTCAGAATAGAATTTGCCAAATATGTATGTGCAGGTTGCTAAATGAGTAATTTTAAGGGGCCTTTTCCCCACCCATAAGCTATTTTGCTTTGTGTTACATGGCTCACTATTGTCTTTAATCAGTAATAGCCCTGGAGTAGATTTTGACAAACTGTCAGACAAGCACTGGAAAGCTGAAGCAAACCCCCTTGTTCTATTTCTTATATTAATAACATATATAGAAATGAAGACAAATCTCTCCCAGATACAATTTGGCCCTGTCAAAGTCTACAGAAGATACAAACTAGATTATTGCAACTGAAAAATGGTAGTTCAAGACTGAGCTGCACAACAGTTTAAGCCCATAAAGCTACCCCTGCCACTCCCAACCTTCTCCAAGCGATCCAGCATGGTAATCCACACAGTGATGATTTAGCTCACAGCTCTCCATGGATCAGAGAAGGGAGGAAGCAGGCATATGTGGCTCAGAAAAATCCTGATCGAAGTGCTGCCTTCACTATGAGACTAAATCCCAACTATATTGATTTTTGGCAGGTGGGCAAAAGAACCTTGCGATTCTGAAGTTTGCACTTGGAACAGCATGTTTCTATTTGTAAATATGCCACCTCCCAAAGATTCTGTTAACATTTTAATTTAAGTTTTAAAGTGAACTAATAAAGCAGAATTAGGTTTAGAGAATTTGGAGAAACTTCTCTTCATACTATAAATAGAAAACTGGCAAGATGTTCGAACACATTACCAATACCTCAGTTGTTTGGGGTTACATATTTTTATATCAACATGGCAACAGCGTACTACGATGTGGTATGTAGAATGAAACCGCAGTATGTGTTCTGACATGCTGCCATCTTATCTAGTCACAGACACACAGCCGTGTATCACAGGACCTATACTGCCTCTAACAGATAATGGGTGTTCTGCCCTGACTCAGAGGGAGTTGAAGTCTGAACTTCTCAGAGACAGGAGTCAAGCTGTAGCTTAAAAGCTGCTGCAAGGGTTTCTGACTGACCGTTCAGTGACTACATCAACTATGACCTGGATGAACAAATCCAGATTAGGTTTTATTTGATAATTGTGCACCTCATCTGTCAGTTTGCATAACCAAACAGCAACATAGAACAGAAGAAAAATTCCAGTTTGCTTTATGAGCACTGGAACAAAGGATTTGTGCTTGGTATTTGACTCAATTCTAGTCAAAGGTGGGCAGGTCAGACAGGACACAGTTTGCTTCGCAAGCCAGCTAAGGATGCCATCATTTGACCTCCACAATTCTACAACCTGATACTGGAGTCTGCACCAGGCCTCAGCACCTTCAAGAGGGCACATGCCCTGTGATGCCCCACATCACTTCTCTGTGGACTCAAGTGCTGCATCAAAAGCCTGAGATCACGCACTCCTGCATGCCATATCTAAACAGAACTCACTCATTCTCTCCAGCATAGTAAGTTACCTGCTGGCTCTTTGTCCTATTTACCCCCTATCTAGTCCTTCCGTTTTCATAAAATTTCACATCCAGGAGACTCAGATCAAATAAATCTAAAAGTCAAACTAAACTATGAGTTTTTCATTTATTTTTTCTGTCATGTCTCTTTTATAATAGCTCATGTCTATTCAACCTATTTAATTTGCACAAGCTGCAAAGCAGACTGCCTTCTCTGCTATATTTGGATGGCCACTAGTTAGCATCAAGGTCCATCCTCCACCATCCAACACAGATATAGTGAGATTTGGCTGGGTACCAAGCAACCTTTATGAAAACATCACCAGCAACATTAACTTGGGACTTATTTTGCTCACAAGTGGTCTCTGCAAAGAGCTTCAGTATTCCCGAACTGGTTAAATTACAATGCTAAATGTACACAATAGGCTGCGAGCAGTTTCGCAGCCAAAAACAGAAATAAGAAACTTACTTCAATGCTGAAGTACCCTCTGTCCACGTAGTCCCCCAGGAAGAGATACCGCGTGTTGGCAGGAGAACCTCCCACTTCAAACAGTTTCATCAGGTCAAAGAACTGACCATGGATGTCTCCACAAACTAGAAGAGAAAAACAGCAATATTCAGATTCACCATGTGAAGATCGTCTTAGGTACATGCGTTCTGAAGTCGGTGTCTTGTAAGAAATGCGTTATGACAATTTTGTGCAGCATCCTCTAGTTAAACGACCGGTGAGAGCTGGCAGCTGCTCAGCAGAAGCTGTTTTTCTATGATGTGCATCCGTATATGCACGAGCAAAAGGCTACCAACTAATTAAAGGAGAGCCATCAGGTAAATTTGACCTAGAATTATTTTCATAGGTATCTGTCCATTCCTCCTCCTGCCTAGCAGAGTACACAATACTGGCAATAGTAGTAAGACAAACCAAAGTTGTCCTGAAAAAGAGAATACGTTCAAGTCGGGTTACTCTTTCTTTTGATACGCTCTATTTCTCCTAGTCTTAAACCCAGACTAACACCAACAGGCTTTCTGTAAAACGCGAAGCGTGCCTGTCCTGCGTGTGCCACCGGTTAAACCAACAAATTTCCAACTTCTGGTTTCTGTGTAGAAAAATGGCCTGCTTGCTTTCCCAAAGCATGTCGTACACCAGGGGACACTGATTTTTCACGCTTTAACCTCTGCCACTTCATTGAACCTCGTATAATTACGATTTGTTTCGCTCCATTGCAATGAAGCCGATCTAACAAGCGGCTTCTCTAGAAAGAGCGGCTCCCTGTAAACGTGACAGACAGAGCACACGCGACGCGCAGCCGGCGCTACGCGGGGATGCCTCCTCTTGTGCCACCTTGTGAAATCGCAAGCTCCGTGGCGGGTGGTTTTAGGTGTCTGCAGGAGAGCAGGCAACGCTTTTGGAGGCCCCCCTGGAAGCTTAACTAGCAGTGCTGTGCCAAAACCTGCTCCCTTTTCCCTTGCTTTGTTTCCCCTACCTAAGGGGAGGGGGAGAACCCCCAGTTTAGGGCCAAGCCCGGAACTTTTACTGGCAACGATCCTTAGCAAAGAAAATGTGAACGGCCTTGACTGTTACTGAGGTCAGTTCAGACTGGTTCTCTCATCAATGACTCAAAAAAGAAAAAAAAAAAAAAAATCCCATTTGCAAACTGGAAAGGTGATTATGAAGAAACTGAATAAACCAAAGGCCCAAGATAGACCTTATCTTGCAACAGCAGCACAGCTTCTTATTTACTGCTAACACTAAATTCTGAAGACTTCAGATGCTCTCTCTGACGTCATGGTTCAAGCAGTGCTCTCATTTGAGCTTTTATCTGGAAATTGATACAGAGGTCTTGCTCTATCGCAGGTAAACAGACCTCCCATTGACCGCGTGCCGTGGAGAAGCTGAAGTCACATCCCCACATAGGTACAGGAGGACTATATCGAACAACAGCTGTAACACCAACTCCAACGAACTTGCAGTGTACATGGTGTTCATGCGTTACTGTCCTTCACCTCAGTCCTGCGTCACATTGTATTTTTTACTTGTATCAATTTCTCTGAATGTATACACTAGCAATAGGGCCAACATAATATTGTCATTTCATCCAAAAGCTAAAAACAAAACGAAACAAAAATCCCCACCCAAACCAAAACCAAGCAACCCAAGCCTGCTCTGTCCAGGGACAGGAAAAAAAAAATGTCCCAGTCACTGCTCTCAGGAATATTTATGTGAAACTGGTGACACAATTCACGAGTTCTGGCTAGCTGAGCATTCTTCTGTGATAGTAACAGGGTGTTTTCCCCATGAAATAGCATATAGTACTCTTATAACCACTGTGTACGTTGTATATCTCTTTTTCCTAAGTTGATTTCCCTCCCAAGAATTTTAGATGACAACCTTCATGTTGAAAGCCATCAACAGTTGTAATTTCTATCTAAGAATAATATCTGCCATTAATTATGCAAAATAAGTACCATTTAAATCCTCAAGTGGTACACCACCACCCCTCTTTCTCGAACAAGAAAACCACAACCAAACACCCCAGAGGAAGTTTTTTGACAGCATTCTTATTTGAACATGTTAATCTAGCAAACCAATACACGCTGCTTGACGGTACTCCTCTGCATGGACACTGTGGGAAGATTAAGAACACGTGTCGCATATTGAGGGCCAAGCAATCTGCTCTCCTAACTTCCAGCAGAAAAGCTTTTAGTTATATAACTGTACAGCTCTACCAATTATCGCCCGCCCCCATTTGCTCCAACTGCAAAAACCTCAAGTTGAACAAGACTGAAAGATTTTAAATGGATTTAACTTTTGCTCTTTCACTAAAGCACAAAGAAATAAGATTTCTTTTTTTTTTTTTTTTTTTTAATGCAGACATGTGTGAATAGGTAAATACATTGAGGCCATTACAGAGAAACCAAGAAGGTTACAGAGCTTTCTCTACGCAGCTGTGTGTCTGTGAATTTGTCACAAGTCAGAAAAGCAGAAAACAAACCAGTGAAGAGGACAGAAATAAAACATGCAGAGCCCTGCAATCCTAAAACTCGCAAAATTCTGAATTGGACTTGAGAATCAATACTCAATGGATATTCCAGGCACTTTGTGTGCAGCAGCCTACTCTTTTTATACTTGACATCAGATGCAGAAATGTATCCGGGG